ACTACTACTTCTTCTTCTACCGCTACTGCTGATGCTACGACGACGACGACGACTACGACTACTAGTACTACTAGTACTAGTACTACTACTACTACTACTACTACTACTGCTACTACTTCTAGCACCAACACCACGACGACGACGACTACCACTACTACTACTTCTTCCTAAGGAATGGTTCGAGAAGGCTCAGCGCGAGCTTGACAAGGATTTGAGGTGCACAATCTTTTGGCACTGATATTGGGGTGAAAATGGCTTTCGGGCTGGGTTGCGTAGCAATATCATCACTAGTGCTAGTGGTGTTGTGCTGCCGTTCTGGTGTGTTGAGTTGTTTCCTAGTATTTGGGGATCTTGAGAGTGTTTTTGGGGGCTTCCTGGCAGGATGCAGGGGGTGCCTCAGCTGCGCACTGCGTAAACCCATGCCCCAAGTCTCGGTGCTGAGTACACAAAAGCTAAGATTATCCCGAATTATCCTTCAGCTGGTTCACACATTGCCGGGCTCGGCGCGTTGGACAGTGCGGGCGAGCAGCTGGGCCACAGCACATAGATGGAATTCACACGGCTACGTTGTGCGAATCATCCAGAGTGCGTTAAGCCCTGGAAGGTTGGCAGCCCCGCTCCGCGCATCTTTGTTGGCCCGGCGCGCAGCAGCCTTGGCGCAAGGAGCGAAGACGCGAGAAGCAGGGGTTCCGCTCTGTGCATATGAGAGTGTCGTGAAAATAGCGTCCGTGTTGCGGAAATCGTGTTGTTGAAGATCGCAACAATCAGACTCAGCAGTGTTTGAATCCTGTATTTTCCCGGAACTACTATCTAGGATCTGGATTCAGGAAAAGTTGGTGCATGGTGTTGTGCCTTCGTCAGGTTTCGGCATGCGAACACGTATTTGTGGGATTCAGTTTTCTGATGATTGGGCGATGGGCCGAGGTTTCCAGTCCAGCTTTCAGGCAAAATACACTTGGGTTCTGTCGTTTCTGCTGGAATGCAGCGGGAGGGTACAGAGGCAGTGGATGTGTTTTTTGAGTTAAGCACGCAGCTGGAAATCGACAGGCTGTTGCAGATGCATGCATTTTGTTGTTGTTGTTGTTGTTGTGGTTGTTGTTGTTGTGGTTGTTGTTGTTGTTGTTGTTGTTGAACCATACAAAACGGCACATATACGTAGATGACCGTAGATTCGCCGTAGATGCAAATTCGAACTTTCGCCCGGTACAGGCGGCGATGTGCTCGAGGCGCTTGGCGAAGTGGAGGCGGCGATGAGACTCCTCCAAGGCCAGGCATTGGGGTTAATGTGTGAAGGGTTAACCGTGTATGTGTATATGTGTATATGTGTGCTTTTGTGATTGTATGTGTATGTATGTATGGATGTATGTAT